CTGTCTGGGACACATGGACCCTTGGTCCATTTCTGGCCCACCTCTTAGCTTTGCCCAGGCCTGGCTCCTGGTGTTTTTCAGGGGTGTCTAAGTTTAAATCTTTATTTGTGGATGAACTGCCCCCTTGACTGTTGTCACTTGGAAATGGGACCTAAATTCCTGTGTGCTTAAAGGGGGCCCTCTGGGCACTGGTAGCTCGTACCCCATTGGGCTAGGTTAGACCAGCCAAGGGACTGAGAATGAAGGGGTTAGGATGCATTCATCGAACATTCTTCCTGCAGTCCGGCCATGAACAGAGATTCTAACCAATGTAGATTCCAACTCCGGAGCTTTAAAAATAAATCTCATTTGATCTTTACAGTCACCCATGAGGTAGAAAAGACAGGCATCCCCATTTTCCTGGGAACATAGAAGCTCAAAGAGACAAAGGACTTACCATAACCCAGAATGAGGTCATGGCCAAGGCCCCACTGCCGATCTCCTCCCTCCCGCGCCCACACTTGCACTTGCATCATCAGCTAGGGCAGAGAGGGTGGTGCAGTCATCGGCTGTGACTGCACCCAGTAGGTGCCCGTGATCTGAAGGATGGTGCAGAGGGATGGCCCCACGAATGAGCCAGGGCAGCAAGGGAAGATGGCCTGGGGTTCAAGGCTACAGTCTTATTTTTTAAAAGTCCTGCTTATTCCTACTGCTGGGTCAGGGGCAGGATGCCCTGGAGAGCAAGGCCGTCAAGGTTCGAGGTGACCAGCGTCAAGTCCTCTAACCCTACCTTGTAGCCTCAGGCAAGTCGCTGCACTCCTGGGCCTCACCAAGAAGCGACCCTCGCCAGGCAAGCGTGGGAAGTGTTCCCGGGCCTGCAGGTTGTGCACCTGCCCACCTCTCTCCCAGGCACCCTGGTGTGGCTCAGCCCCACCCACAGCGGGCCATCAGTTCATCTCCTTGAGGACTTAGAGGAGATGAAGACACCCAGGACTTCTGGCCCTGGTGACGCTGAGCCCCAGTGGAGAACCCAGGCCTGGGGAGCCCGGGCTCTGTAACTCACGCAGGCCTGCTGCCGAGGTTGTGTAGGAAGTGATTGTCACGGTGGCCGATTCCGGTTCCGAGCGTCCTGTGGGGGAGCCTGAGGAAAGCCTCCGTGGCGCTCAGACATTACTGTGGTCCCGGTGCTTCCTCATTCCCGGAGAGAGACAGTCCCAGCTGTCCCCTGAGACCCGCTGCTCTGGGGGGAGGTTGTGAAGCAGGACAGTGGGCAGACGGGACAGGCAAGGGGGTGGGATGACCTGAGAGTCACTGCCAGGCTCCCTTCCCACAGACCTCAGGCCCGACCTCCTGGTGTCTGGGCTTCTTCCTCATGTATTCACGAAGCACAGATTTTTCCACTGTGCTCAGCACGGGGCATGCAGTGAACGAGACAGGCTTGGTCTCTGCTCTCACGAAACTTAGAACCTCGTGGGAAGCAGACACTCGGGCAGCTGCAGTGAAGCGTAATCGACTTTGCGATGGGGAAGTGAGTGCCAAGGAAATGTGCAGCAATATTGGTGGGGAGGGAGCAGCCAAGAAGGCTTTCTGGAAGAAGCAGCATTTGAGCTGTGCCCTCTTAGTAGACTTGCAGAACATCCCTCATTCTGGATTTGTCTGATTGTTTGTTTCTGGTGCCATTTAGCTTGTTCCTCTACCTCCTAGAATTCCAGTAAATTGGAACTTGGGTCAAGAGGCTTGAGATTCAGGTTAAACATTTTGGTGACAACACTTGCCAGAAGATTTTTGTATATTTCGTATTGCGTCACCTCAGAGGCCACACAATGTCTGACTGTCCCTCTGTTGGTATGCTAAGTTCGATCACCCGGTTATCGTTTTGACAGCCAGGTCTCTCCATTGAAAAGCTCCATTGTTTTTCCCCTTTGCCGGGAATGTAATCGTGGGGTGATAACTTCCACACCGTGTGACTATCCTGTTCTCCAGTGGCCTTTCACCCAGTGGGAGGGTGTCCACCAAGGACCTTTCCAGAGTGGCTGTGCCGTATTGCCTTCCCACCAGCAAGGTATGAGAGTTCCAGTGGCCCCACACTTTTGTCAGCACTTGTTTTTGTCAGTGTTTTTTAGTTTAGCCATTCTAATAGATGCATGGTGACGTCTCGTCAGGGTTTCAACCTGCCTTTCTCTGGTGGCTAATGACGTTGAACCTCTTCTCATGTACTTATTTGCCACCCCTATATCCTCTTTGATGACATGTCTGTCCATATATTTTGTCCATCTGGTCATTTTGAGAATTTTTAAAACTATATTCTGAATGTAAGTCCTTTATCAGGTGGGCAGCATGTGTTTTGAGGGCTATACCATGAAGGAAGTTTTAGTGTTATTTCCAGGGAACATGATGTGGCTGTGTAGATCTGCTCCAGGAAATCAACTTTCTAAAAAATTACTTTTTAAAATTACGATAAGCCCGGCCGGGCGTGGCTCAGCGGTTGAGCGTCGACCTAGGATCCAGGCGATCAGGGTTCGATTCCCAGTCAGGGCACATGCCCAGGTTGCGGGCTGCAGCCGACCAATGACTTTCTCATCATTGATGTTTCTGTCTCTCTCTCCCCCCCTCCATTCCTCTCTTTGAAATCAATAAAGATACATTAAAAAAAATAAAAAAATAAAATAAAATTACGATAAAATATGCATAACATAAATTACCTTTCCACCCACTTTTCGGCGTCCAGTTGAGCAGCACCTTCACATTGTTGTGCAACCATCTCCAGAACTTCTTTTATCTTCCCAAACTGAAACTCCATATCCACTGAGAAACAACTCCCTACTTCCCATGCCCCAGCCCCTGGAACCCACCATTCTGTCTCTGTGAGTCTGACCACTCTGGGTATCTCATATCAGTGGAATCATACAGTATTTGTCTTCTTGTGACTGGTTCATTTCCCTTAGCATAATGTTCCCAGGGTTCATTAGTGGCATAGCGTGTGTCAGAATCTCCTTCCTTTTTAGGACTGAGTAATATTCCACTGTGTGGGTGGACCACATTCTGCTTATTCATTCATCCATCAACGGACACGGGTTATTTCCGCTTTTTGGTTATGTGCATGAGGCTGCCATGAAGAAATCTGCCTTTAATTTCCTAACACCAGGCCACTGAGTGTTAACTTGGCGTAGGATATTGTTGGAAAGCCAGGGTTGATGTGTTAGGATTGCTTTGGTTACAACTAACAGAAACAAACTCAAATGGGCTTAAACAGGAAAGAGAAGGTTCTGGCTGACGTCATGACATGTCCGGGATGCTGGATCTGATGTCACAGGACTTAGTGCCTTTGTCCCTCTCACTCTGCTTGCTTCTATGTGCAGGCGCTTCCCACATAGTAACTCCTGGTGTGGCATTGTCCTCCCAGCAGCCATTGCAGTGGCCAGAGGGTCTCTTCCCTGATAGGCCATCAAAAGTCCCAGAACTGAGTCTCATTGGCCCATCCCGGAACCATCATGTGGCCAGGGATGGGCAGTTCTCTGGTTGGCCAGCCCTGGGACGTGTGCCCACTCCCTCTCACAAAGATGGGGGGAGGGGTGATCCTCCAAGGAAATTGGGTGCTGTTACCAAAAGGGGAAAGGGAAGGGGGATACCAAATACTCAGGAACATCAGGCAGCTGCTACCAGGGTGGGTGTGGCAGGCATTGGGCAGAGCCCCGTGGACGTTAGTCATTGCAGTGAATCCTCAGGGAGATGACTGTCCCCGATTTAGAGAAAGGGACACTATGTCCAGAGAGGTTGGTACCTTGTGAGTCTTGCCCAGCAGCAGAACTGGCACTGGAACCCAGTGAGCCTGCTCTTTCACCAGCCCCCACACGCTGGGCAGAGCCAAAGCCCTGCGCTGGGACAATTCTCATTAAAAAATTAGGTTTGTGCCGAAAAATGCAGATCATCAACTTGTGTTCAGAGTTTGGTTCCAGTAAACCAATTAGGCCTGCTGCAGAGTCCTTGTACTGTACGTACAGAACTTTAAAAATTGTAAACAAGGGAACAGGAATGAATTGTGTAAGCAGAATTTTTTTTCCATTTGTGGGTGTATGCTTTTTGTTGGTTTTAAGAAAAAAAATTAAATCTTTGACGATTTTTTCTTGTTTTTTAATATATATATATTTTACTCTTCACCCGAGGATATGTCTTCATTGATGAGAGAGAGAAAGAAACATTGATCGGTTGCCTCTCGTATATGCCCCTACCAGGGTTGGACTGACTTAGTGGCTCTGATTGGCCCGGCGCAGGTCACGTGCTCACTCGTCAGCTAATTACCATGGGTAAGGAATGGTACCCACCTCTATCTAAGAAACAGATTTATGGTCAATGTATTATTTTCTGTGCGTGCCATAACTTATGACAAAGGTTGGAACACGCCCTGTGGTTTATAAAGCAGTTCCCACTTCTCAGTCTCCTCAGATCCTCCCTCTGTCACACTGAGCCACCCCGGCCAGGTGGCTCAGTTGGTGGCACATGCTGGTAGCCCCATTCACAGATGGAGAAACTGGCGCTCAGAGGGAGAAAACGACTTGACTGGACCCTACTTGGAGGAAATGGTGTGATGGCTTAGCTTATGAGAAATATAGGGAGGCTAAGGCCCCCGTGACTTCAACAAAAGTCAAAGTTTTAAGAATGACTGGTAAAATAGCCAGCCCGTGGCTCTCTGAATTGACTGGGGAACAAGAAATCCTAACAGTGCTAAAAATAACAGCACCTCCTGAGATGAGCAGGATGCTAACGCTTTCCCATGCGTGATTTCATTTGACCCTTTGCACAACTCTCAGAGGTGGAGGTGGTTTATACCCATTTTATTGAGGAGGAAGCTGAGGCTCAGCGAGAACAAGTAACCTGCTTCAGGCCATACAGCTGGTCGGTGGCAGAGCTGAGATTCAAACCCAGGTCCTTCTGATGCTGAACTTAGTGCTTTGCTCCCGAGTCCTGGAGACAGAAAGGGCCCCCTTAGTGCTAACACCTGTCTCCTGTGTTCCTCGCTGCAGGTCTACATCATCCGGGTCACGTGGTCCAGTGGCTCCACCGAGGCCATCTATCGGCGCTACAGCAAATTCTTCGACCTCCAGGTAAGGGCTTGGGGCCTCCAATGAGCTGCAGGGTAGGAAAGAGTTTAATTGGACTCACTTTCCATTTTAACTCCAGAGCCTAGACACTCACCCACAGTGGACATACAGTGTTCTTTTTTATTTCCTAGAATTAAAAATGACGTCCGTGTGCTCACTTCAGCAGCACGTGTACTAAAATTAGAACAATATAGGAAAGGTTAGCATGGTTCCTACATGAGGATGACATGGAAATCTGTGGAACATTCCATTTTAAAAACCAAAAAAGGAAAAAGATGTCCATCACTTTTGGAACCTAGGTAATGTGCTTTATTGCTTTATGCTTTGATAGTATTTTCCAAATAAAAGGGCTGCCTGTTGACTCCTTGTGGAGCATGATTGGGAAATCTGTTTGGCTTTGGAGTACAGATCTTCAGCTTGTGCTTTATTCAAGGACTCAGATGTGTCCTGTCATGTTTGGTGAATAAATGAATGAATTAATAAGTGAACTAACAACCTTGAGTGCCAGCAGTCTCATAGGGCACCTGGCAAATGTGGACAGCTCGGTGTAAGCCCACCCCTACTGTGGTGAAAGAATTATAATCTTTGGGACAATAGCCTTATCTTGATGTCACCAAAGGCCAGCACCTCAAAGTAAGTGTGTCTGTATGAGAAGTCACAGTGCCCAGTATGACATAATGAAATTCTTTAGAAAACACAGGCCTCAGGAGGAGATGGGAACTTGCCCAGCTTCCCGAACCAATGAGTCCTCCCTGCTAGCTATGTAGTGAGGGACTCATACTGAGCTATCTTTCTTTCCCCTGTGTGCCAGTTAGGATGCTTCAGTTGCAAGGGACAGAAACCCAACTCAAGTTGGCTTAAGTCAATGGGGATTTTTTTGGCTGGTATAACGGAATGTCCTGGGAGAAGAAACCATGTGGGCTTAAGGCACTGCTCGATCCAGGGTTTTCCACTGTGCCCTTTCACCCAGCTCTTTGCTCTCATTCTGCATTTCTCCTTCCATAGTGTTGGCTTTGACCTCAGATCCCATATGGTTGCAAAATGCTCTGGGCACACAATCAGCAGGAACGGGCAAAAGGTCACTTCCCAGAAGTTCCAACAAATACGGGGTTGTGTTTCACAGGCTCATCTCTAAGCCTGTCAAGATGATGAAGGAATGCGATGGCCAGTGGACTTATCTGGGTCCCTCCTCTGTCCCTGGAGTTACGGGGTGGGGACTGAGACCTGGAAAGAACAGCTCTGATCAGATGTAAAGTAGGGGTTGTTGGGCCGTCAGAACAGCCCTTGTTCTCCTCACAGCAGCCTGCCTCCTTGCCTCCCATGTTTTTTCTGAAAGTTGGGTGATACTAGCCACAGGCATTCTTGGTTGTGGGGACCTAATCTGTTCCTGAACACGTCAAGCAGAATATTCAGAGCGTGTGCTGCATTCTTTTCCAGGGGGAGGGGAGATAACAAAGGGGTAACTGCCTGGAGTCAGTGAAGCCACTGAGACACCCGTTACCTAAGTATTTAAGGTGTAATGAGTACAGTGATGTTTTGTATTCACTGTGTAACAAAATCAAACAGGATCATATACAAATTAGCTTTCCTCCTGGTCTGCCGCAACACGTCCTGAATGTAAATCTACGAGTCTGTATGTTAAAGATGCTAAGATACCATCTAAAATGGACTTGGCAGGAGCAGACACAGGGCAGGGGAGGTCTGAGCCCTGAGGGGAAGAAAGGGCAGATGAGAGCCACAAGCAGGACACACAGTGCTGCGTGAGAATGATGGAGATCCAAACCCTCGGACCCAGACCGCCGTGGCTGCCATGCAGATCCGTCTGTGTGTGCAGCTCTGTCACCGCAGGTCTCCAGAGAGTGAAAGGCGGGTCAACATTTTGCAAGTTGCTAGACTGACTTTTTATGTCCTGAGGGTCTGCCTAGGGAGGGCTACCTGTATTTTGCTTTCAGAGGCCTCTTGTCTGCCCGATGCCCCTAAGAAAGGACACGGCGGGGGGGGCTGAGAACAGTGCCAGGCGTGATTGCTCTCGCAGGGGTTACCGACACCCACAGAGCAGACACCCGGTCTGCTGGCTCAGGCAGGAAGAGGGGAGTGGGGGTGGGTTGATGGGAAGAGGCAGGTGCGCCCCATGGAGCCAGAGCGGGAAATGCGGCCGCCCCCGCAGGGGCCCGGAACCGGCAGCAGAATGAGCCTGCGGAGGCCCGGCAGCGCCCTGGCCGGGTGTCACTGTGGCCACAGGATCTGCGGTCGAGCCTGCATCCTTTCCCCAGCAGCCTCTCTAGACCAGTTTCCTCCACGTGCCTGCTGGCCCACGTCCCCCAAACAGCACCTTCAGTCCCCCAGTGGGAGTGTCCTTCCTGTTGCCAAAGCCCTGGGGTTTCTAGGTGCCGATTCCTGTCTCCAGGATTGAGAATCTGACTGTCAGAAATCTGGGTGAGAGTCCACCCAAGCCTGTCAGCTGTGGCGGGAGGTGGGGTTGTCCCTACGGCACGAGCTGGAGGAGTAGATTGGGGAGGAGGCCCTGGAAGCGCACAGGGAAAGGGCAGGGTGGGAGGAACTTGGCTGTGTCCTTGGTTCCCTGTTCCAGGACAGCCCGGGGCTTCTGGGTTAGACAGACCCGGCTCCCAATCTCAGCTTTTTGCCTCTTTAGGTTTCAGCTTGGTGTCGCCTCTGTATGTCTCTGAGCTTCAGTTTCCCCATCTGCACATTAAGAATGAAAGTACTTTCCCTGTGCATCTGGTATGGCAGAGTTATGCCTTGCTCAGTAAGCATATTCGCTGTCATCTGCTGTCCCTCTGCTCAGACGGGACTTGCCCGAGGGGACGTTGTTTGGGACCGCTTGCCAAGGTAGGATCCCAGGGCTCCCTGGCCCAAAGCCTGTTGCTCCCTCCACTGCCCTGTTCTGACTCAACTTTCTTATTTCTACCAGAACCTAAAAGTGAGGTTTTCTGCCCCACTCAGCATAATTGGTAATAATTGGGGGTTTGCAGTAACGTAATGGCCTCGGCCTGCCCTCCTGAAACAAAGTCATCAAAGGATGGGGCTTCAGCTACCTTAAAGAGTCCCAGATGGGCGGCTGGACTGGGAAAGTTGTTCAATTCCAGCAGGTCCTGCTCTCCCGGAACTGGCCTGCCTCCCACCCCCACAGCCCGGAGGGAGAAGCTGGAAGGAGTTAGGGCAGGACCCAGAGTCAGCTGTTCCCAGTGACCAGGCGAGGAGGCCAGCCCGTATGGGGCTGCAACACCCTAAAGTTAGATGATTTCATGGTTCCACCCTCCCCTCCCTCCTGTCTGGCGAGTAGCCTTGGTTTTTTCAGAAGTAACTTGGCCCAAGGAGTATGGGGAGGGCCGAGCTTTCGTGGAGGAACAGCTAAGCCAGGGCAGTGTAATGGAAAAAGTCAGGAGACTTGGGGCCCAGCCACCTATGCTGTGTGGCCTTGGGCACACCCCTTAACCCCTCTGTGCCTGATTGTCCTCATCAGGAACATTGGAGTGATGATAATGGTAACAGAAACAGCCGGCACTCCTAGAGCAAGCACTGCTCGGCATCTAGGTGTGACTCATTTATTCCTCATATTAAGTTTATCAGATTATACAGATGAAAAACCCCAGGCCCGGAGAGGCCGAGTGGTTTGCCCTAGGTCACACAGCTAGTGAGCATCGGAACTCAGATGTGAAGCTGGGCAGGCAACACCAGACTCCGAAGTCTTATCCACACTGCTGTCCAGGGCTCCCCTCTCTAGCATCCGCTTCACAAGGTTCCTGTGGGGTTAAAAGTGATGATGTGTGTTGGAAGAGGCAAACCCACAGAGACAGAAAGCAGATCAGTGGTTGCCAGGAGCCGGGAGGGGCGGAAAGTGGGGGAGACGAAGGTGCAGGGTTTCTCTTTGGGTTGATGAAAATGTTCTGGAATTAGACAGTGGAGATGCTCGCATAGCCTTGTAACTATTCCAAAAACCACTGAGCTGTACACTTTAAAAGGGTGAATTTTAAAGGTATGGAAAGTATATGTGCATTTCTTTTTTCTTGTTTTTGAAGTGATGATGTGTGCGAGAGCCGTTTCTGGGCTGTCGAGCCCTGAGCAAATGTCAGCTGTTGGGATTATCGGGAATTGGCATAGTTTAGAGCAGGAGATGGTGCCAGTTTAATAGAGTGGGTAAGATCCTGGGCTTTGGCCCAAGTGCTGCCACTTCCTGGCTGTGAGATCTTGTTTTAGTCAGAACTGTTTTAGTTGTAGATGACAGAAACCCAGTTAAGATGGAGTATTCAAAAAGAACATTGATTAGCTTAATGTAACTGAGAAGACAAAGGGTAGTTGGCTTCAGGTATGGCTGGATCTAGGGGCCACAGTGTCAATAAGGCCTGCTTTTCTCCACTTGACTTTATTCATGTCCAGGCAGGGTATTGTCTGGCAAGGTTGCGGTCACAGGTCCAAGCTGTATCCATCAGTTCTGTTCAGTGAAAAGAGAACATGCCAACATCTTGGGTCAGTGGTCAGCCAGTCAGGGTCAACCCAGGGACTGGAGTAAAATCAGCATCACGCCAATGTGTGTAGACTAACCGAGAAGATTCCCAGGAGAAAGCAGAGAAGTGCTTCCAAAGGAGGGGAGATAGCTTGTAGATAACAGTAACTGTCCCCTCTGGTGGGGGCAGGACATTCAGGCAGAGGGAACAGTCTACAGAGAGGCTGCGTGGGGTAAAAAGGAGCATGGCTCAGGTTCCTTTGAGGGAAGAGACTTACTAGCAAGAATGTCCCCTTTATGACAATTCACCTTCTGATGTGATTTCCTGACTCATCTTAGAAAATCTGGACCGTAGTAGTCAGGCTGGTTGACGTCTGGCCTCATGTCTCATTCACGTGAGGGTGGAGGCAGTAGAGCCCGGGCTTGGAATGGGAAGCCCTGCTGTAAGGTCCCAGCGTCTGTCTTACCAGCTGTGTGACTTTGGGCAGGCCACTCCTCTCTCTGCACCTCCTTGCCTGGGTCCGTCAGAGCGTGGCAG